GGTGTTTACATCAAGATAATAATCCTAAACATACTAGCAATATTTCCGAACAATTCATCAACAACAAAGTACCACGGTTACTAGAGTGGTCATCCAATAGTCCAGATGTTAATCCAATCGAGAATGTATGGTCGATCGTAAAACGCAAAGTTGAAAAAAGAAAACCGAAAAATATTGATGAACTCGAACTTTTTTTATGTGAAGAATTTAAAAATGTTGATGTTAATTTTGTAATGAATTTTGTGATGTCGACGAAAAAACGATGTTTGTCTCTTATTGAATCTAAACGTGAACGAATAAAATATAGAAGTGTAGTGCTAAATAGTACTCATCATAGGGTATCAGCCAGTTATGAAAACTACTTGAGAGTGACTTATATATGGGGATATATTTACGTAACAAGATGTGGGAGTTTTCTTAAACAGGTGTGTATATCTTCGCTTCCACTCACTCTCTCTCTCTCTCTTATTTTCTTATATACGATAGAAGGTTGTCGTCTACTAACCATAGACACAAGAATAGACATATTTATAATTTCATCTTCTCCTACTCTTATATGAGATAGAAGGTCGAGGTCTATTTCTATTATGTCTGCACTAATAGCGAAGGTTTATCGCAAAATGAGTTAACGTAAATATTTGAACATGAAAGAGTATATAATACTATTTAAAGAATGAAGACTTCCTTTTTTAGATACGCAACAATATAGACTATTGACACACTTATTCTCACACCTATCTCAAGAACTGGCTGTTCTTTTTCAAGAATTCCCTGACAATCCAGAAATCTTCTACCAACTTTATTCTCAGAACAAATAATATCATTGTATATTGAATTTATCATTTGAATTGTTCTATTCTTTTACTTAATAATAGTTTCGTTGTTATCATCAATACAAACTTTTTCATTGAATAAAGGACACACTCGATTTTAATGTATTATTTCTTTACCGAAGGATATCTTTTTTTGATATACTATTAAACGAAGCATGACAAGAAAAAAAATCATATTCATATAAGCAATCGTTATAAACTTGTATATATTCATTTGTTTTACTTTCGTTTATATAACAAATATCTCTATAGAAAATATGAATTCAGACGACGCTGTTTTTAGTGGATTTGCTGGTGGACATGATTCAGGTAAGACTTTATGAATTTTCAAATTAATAAAAACAACCTTCTTTTTTATCGTTGAAAAGTTCCTGGTGTAGGAAATGTTCCTCCATCAACAGGTGGTTTTGAAGGAATCAATACATCTGGAAATCCTCAGTTAGATGCTCATACTCGTGTTGATCCAAATAATTTTCCCGGTATAGTCCATTGGGGTCAAGAACAGGTTGTTGCACGTACACTACCTCAACACCCTCCAGTTGATAAATAAATTGATTGCATTCGATTAAAATTTGTTAAGTAAAAACAAACATATTTGCCTTTTTTTCGAATAAATCATCAATAACAATCGAATTGGTTAATAATCTTTTTACTAAAAACGAAAAATTAGTAAAAACACAATTAATTGATTAAATATGAAATGATTAAAAACGAATTCAACGAACAAAAAACTAAATATAGTAAAAAGGTTTAAAAACTAATTTATAATGACAAAACTCTCCTTTTTTGAGCGTGTGTGTGTGAAACAATTAACACATATATGTATACAAATATGGATTGATATCTTGGGTGTGGGTGTGGGTGTGCAATAGCTACCATAATTTAGATTTCACTTCTGCTAAGAAGATCATCAGATGGCTTGATAATGAAATAGTAATGATCTTAAAATAAAGATCAAAACCAACTTTCAATGAATTACATAGTTATATACTAAATTATATTAATATATAATAGTAATTACACAACCTAGGAGACATTGCACGTAAACTACACCCGACGTTTTAAAAATGTGCTCGAATCAATCTGCAGTTCACCCTATCTTGTAGAGCACATTTTTTTAGTCTTATATCCTACGTTTT